GACAATTTTCTCAGTGGTTTCACTTTTCTCTTCCTGCTCTGGAATTCCAAGGACATGTAGGTTATTCCTTTTGATGGTATCCCACATGAACCTTAGGCTTTCTTCATTTTGTTTTGATCTTTTTTTCTGATTAATCCCTTTCCCAAGAAGTATTAGGTATTAGTCTTCAATTTCATTAATTCTGTCTTCAATTGCATCAATTCTACTCTTTTGCCCTTTCAATGTGTTATCTATTTTTGACAATTTTGTATTAATCTTCTGGATTTCTATCTGTAGATTTAGAATCATTTCTAATTTTTCATTTATTTTGTCATTTTGTTCTTGCATTTTCTTCCAAAATTCTTCTAGGGTTTTGTCTGTGTTTTCCTTGGTCTCTCAATCCTTTGAAAATACCTAAATATAACTCCTTTAAATTCTTTATCAGGGAGTTCCAATGCTGTGTCTTCCTCAGGGATGTGTTTTGGGTCTGTATCCTGGTCCTTTTTTTCTCCTGTTTTATCTTGCTTCTTTGTGTGGACTGTGATGCTCTGTTGTCTCTGAGGCATTGCAATGTTTTTGTGTTTATATTTAATTGGTGATTATATGTTGGAGTGACCTTCCCACAATTTTTGTTTTCTTTGTTTTGCTTGTATGTTATCTACACAGGCAGGGTACTGTGCTGTACTCCTCTATTCACTAGTTGACAGCACTTATACACTCACCACCTGTCCCCTTTCCTTCGTCAGCCTCTTGTATGTCCTTGCCAACCCTGGAAAACAGAGCCTATTCTTAGGTACCTGGAATGTGAATGAGAATGCTTTAAAATCCAAAATGGTTGTCACTTATAAACATTCAAAATGGCTGCACCCTCGGTCACTTTACATATTCAAAATGGCTGCATGTGTAAACAATCAAAATGGCTGCGCCCTCCAGACAGCAGAAAGTCCACAGTTCAGGTTGTCTCCCTCCTTGCTGTTTTCCTTCCTAGTCATAGGCCACCAGAGTAGGTGTCCCTGCAGGCCTTAGTGACCAGGACTGATCTTTAGGTCAATTCTCAGGTCCTAACACCACTTGGAAATATTCAGGCTGTTGGTGTTGTCAGAGTAGCTGACAGTCCACAGCTCCAACTGTCTCTGTACTCACTGTTTTTGTTCAGGTTTTTTCACTAGTTGGTGCCTAATCCACCTCTATATAGTTCCTTTCAAAGCTCAAGGTTCCAGGATTATCTTCTGTATCTCTGTCAATTGGTTTTTCTTTTCTTTGTTGAAGAGGGTCTATGTCGCTTGTCTGCCTATTCCTCCATTTTATCAGAAGTCCTCTATTTTTCTCTTGTAAACAATAAATTTGAAATAGGGAAGTAGAATAATCAACTTTCATTATAATGACAGTGGTAAGTAGTATATAGGGAACATTTGCTATATTTCGTACCCCAAATCAAATACTTTTCATAAATCATCTCTTACCTTCACAGCAATCCTATAAACAGGTATTCTTTCTCTTTTATGTGTGAAGAAACTAAGGTTCTAAATATTTAAATATATTTCCAGAGAGCATGTAGGTAATAGTAAAACTAAATTTTAAACCTATGTCTGGCTGATAATAAAGCCTATATTCTTTTCACAGTTATCTTAGTCCAAAAGTTAAGTTACACTCAGAAGTACAAGCTGGAACTAAAAGTTGCATTGGAATTGAGGGAATAAACCTATTAGCAAATAAGAACAATTGTGAAAAAATGATGAAAGCCAAAAGTAAAGATAGCAATGAAGATGAATGGGAAAACTCATTATAAGATATATTTTAAAAAGTAACTCATCAGTAAAGCCAGTGAAAATTTGAATGTTTGGGATGAGTAGAAAAGACATAGAGGACACCCATAATTTTTACATATACATGTTTTATTTATATACGCACACACACACACACACATGAAATTTCCTGAGGTCATGAGTGTAAATTTAGACACATTTAGCTTAAAATGCCTGCAAATCATCTAGGAGTAACTGTTTATAAGGCAGTTTCACCTAAAAATATATGTACT